AAAAAAAAAAAAAAAAAAAAAAAAGTCCACCTGTTCCTGCTGCAAGGAAGGCACAACATTAAAAGGTACATGACGATTAATATTGCCTCCTCTGTCCACAGCACAACCTCATCTCCCATCTCAAGCCGCTTGGACCGCATAGGACGATGGCTGGATCCTCAGACTCTTTGCGCAATTGTCTGTCTTATAAATTCCCACTAAATGGCCTGCAAGTTCAAACATGTTGTTCCTCAAGCTGCTATACTGCCGGATTCCGAGCCGGTGGACGATCGCCTTTGTTGAGTTTGCGTCCGTTGATTGCTGCTGCGGCCTGAGCCCAGGCCAGTCACTGCGTCCTCCCACTTGAAGACGTTGCAGCCACCCTCTCTCGTTTCACACTCGTAAAACTTGCGGCCACGGTTGGCCTCTCAGTGTTGGCAGTGAGGAGAATGCAAGGCTGACCACATTCACAAACAACCTGAACGGTTGATGCACACTCCCGGAGCTCCTCAAGGATCCATCTTCAGAAGTCCTCCTTTCCTTCCGCCCTTGACCACCTTCGCCAGCGCCTTCCCACACAGATGTTCCTCTGTTCCTTCCCCTGCCCCTTCCCGTGCCAGTCCCTGGCCCATCCACTTGGCTGCTTGGCGCACGCCTCGCCCCTCGTGATGGATTATTATCTCCCATGACGGCACAATTTGACGTTTGTCCGCTGCCCCGCCTCCCTGTCCGTGTCCCCCTGCCACTGCCAGACGCAGCAGGCGGATTACCACCGGAGCTTGGACAGTTGCTTGCAAAGTGACCTTGCTGACCGCATTCAAAGCATGTAGGATGTAGGTCCCAATCCACCATCACGGCCTCCAATGGATGATCTCCTGGGTGGTTGGGGGGGATGGGGTCCTCCTCTTTGGATTGAGACTCCGGTCACTCCGCCACCGACTGGCTCAAGGATCTCCTTGAGCTTCCCGCAACATCCAACTATGCAACCTGTAATATCTGTTGGGCACTGAGGGGGAATCTCCGCTCGTCTGAATTTGCAGCGGATCATATAGACAGGGCCTGTCTATATAACACGTTTGGGGAAGTCCAAGCAACCCGGCAATTGGGGAAGACCCGGCCTGCGGCTTTATTGGACGATCATCTGACATGTTTGTTGTGTAACGGATGCGTCCACCAAAGCCGCAGGCAGCCACATAACTCCCTGGCAATTGGGGAAGCCCAAGCAACCCACCATAAACTTCCCATGCGGTCGTGACTTCAGCACCATGTTGGATGTCCCACACAATGGACAAGAGCGCACAAATGCTCCAACAGGTCTTGCTCTCAGGAGCACCTTCAGCTCTGAGGAATCTGGGGCGGAGCAGCAGTAAATCCTTCTGAAAGGAAGTAATCAATGTCGTTGTCTCAGGATCTCCCGGTCATAACAGGGAGAAAGCGTTGAGTGGCTACAATGCCTCCCGACACGGGTTTCTCGTGACAAACAGTGCAGGATGGGAAATTCACGACAGACCAGCTCAACGTGAACACGGTCGTGATCACCTGCAAGTTGACCTTGTTCACGTTGAGCTGGTCAACGTTGACCGGTGACCAGGTCAACGTTGACCAGTGACCAGGTCAACGTTGACCAGTGTGACCAGGTCAACGCGACCCGTGTGACCAGGTCAATGTGCAGGTGATCAGGACCTTTCCCCTGTCGTAAATGAGAGGCAGTGCAGTGCGGCAGAAGGCTGCTCAATGTTGGGGGGAAGAGGGG